AGAGAGGACGAGCTCCGATATACTTCCACTCAAGAAGGTCCGTCATTTTCACTGCGGATGAGTGTGCGGCACTGGCTCTATTTTCGAAAGCATCTCCGCATGCTTCCTCCTCTCACCGGCTCTAGGCATGCTCCGGAAAAATTTTCCGTGAGTGATGACAAATTCAGATCTGGACCGACAACTTCACCAGAACGCGAACCGTCGGAGGACGGAAACACTACATCTTTCACCAAGTAACGCATTCGAGGTGCCCGAACGGATGCAAAATGGCGGGTCAAGCGAGTAGCGTCCTCGTCTATATGGAACAACCTACCTTCGCACTCTCAATACTAACAAGTGGCTCCCCCTAGCGTTGTACGCAACTTGCCGCCACTACCGTACAGACTGATGTGTGTGATGGGGGCGCGGTGAACCGCGGGAGATTCCGCCGCTCGGTGGAGATCGTCGAGCGATTCATGCAGCTCCCTTTCCGATACCTGAGTCTACATTGTTCGTGAAATACTTTCCTTCTCGTGAGGACCAATCCGCAAACCCAACGAAGATCGAACATTATTTTCACTAGAGGTAGTAGAGGCTCAATCTTGAGGTCGGGGGCTTCCTAGAAACCGAGCTTCCGCCGATTAGGAAAGGCGGTCCGTATTGCCTCGGAAATTCTATCGGACTCTGACGAAGTAACGGTTTCTCTTTCCTGATGGGATGGTGGGGGTAATCGAGGTTATTCGAATTCATAATGAATTTCGTTGAGCAATCTGAATGAGTTCCGATCAATGACATGACGACGAAAGGAGAGACCATCATTCATCAATTCTAGGTGAGCGCGAATGACACGGGCGTAGCCAGCATTGACTCAGGGAAGAAACAACTCTACGCTACTCTAAGGACAACGCGAGCTCGGTTTCGGGTGGAGGGTTCGAAATAGGCGACCCTAATCCTCGAAGACTATGAGGATTGTCGTCTCGAGGCTGCGGAACTGCGAGGATGTTTTCCGGAACACGACTCGCGGCCTGATAGCTGAGTTCGCAAGCCACGGATATTCGGTTATGTTTCAGATTATACATGGAGATTCACATTCGTAGAGAGGCGGACTTCCCATCACTTCAATCCAAATCATTTGTGGGTCCTCTAAACCGTGTCTCCCACTCTCGGGATGGCCGGGAATATTCTTATTGGAGGGCATCCCCGTCTACTCTTCGACCATGCGAAAGCTTCCCTCAAGCAGAGACTGCCCGTCTATTCATCGCTTCCGCTGACGATGGAATCGAGATCGGGTCCTAATTCAGGCATACTTCGTTCAAACTTCAAGGATAGAGCTTCCATCGTTCTTGATTGACTCCCATCCCCCTACATATAAAATACCCCCCCCCCCCGTATAAATGGCAACATGTCCGTCATGGAAAATTGTCACCAATATGAACATTATTCCCACATATAATTATTCCCAAGTTTAAAAGGCGACACGTCCGTCATGATTCCCATCCCACATTTAAATCCCACATGTAAAATCCCACAAAAAAGCCCACATATAATATTCCGCATATAAAAGGCGACATGTCCGTCATGGAAAATTGTCACCAATATGAAGATAATTCTTACAATACTATCATCCGAAAAATGATGCTCGGCAATGCCCGCGCGATCGCGATTCCTTTACAGTTCACTTTTCGAGGGGTCTACATCCCCAACCGCGGTGCGTGTCCGGCGCTTTAATGCACTGCGCAGTTGCGCCATGATGCCGCCGTCGCCGTTTCCGCCATCCACTCCGTGTTCGCTGACGCCCGGAGATGTCCTACGCGAGCGCCCGGCTGGTAGCTCATATTCCATGAGGACGCGCATGTAGCGGGCCCTGGAGTAGACGTTTCACTGAAATATTCACGGTATCAATATCACCGTGAGCCTACGAAACACTCAGGGAAACGAGCCGCGGAGGAAGTTTTACGGTCACTTCCAAGTCTCGTCATCTGCCATATGATGAATAAAGCAACGCGGTCTCTACTCAGTTTCCCGATGAGACATCTCATCCCGAGGAATAGCCGCGATCACGAGCTTCTTCTTTTTTCAGAATATTTCTCTCCAGCAGGACATAAGGCTTGCCCGTAGGGCCCGGCTTCATACTTCCGTGGCCTGTGAGTAGGGACTTAATATCACCGCCGGACCGCGAGGTTCAACTGAGCTGCTTCGCTTGAATACTTCTTGGACGAGAAGTTGGTCGGCTCGATGCGCTTGCCATACTTCCAATCCTGAGGGGGCGAGCTCCCATTGATCCGCATTATCTTAAGGGAGTCGAGCGTGCCTTAGGGATTCGTCAGAGCCTAAGATTGGTGCTACTTGGATACGACCCAGGAGAACGTCGCTAGAAGGAAGCGAGAGTCTCCAAACTCCGCCACACGTCTCGAGAGTCGTTCAGAAATCGTATCGCAGGTCGAGATGGGGGATCTCGCTGATTAATCTTCGGGCGCAGCTGATGAGCTCACCCACCGTGTAGGGCGTCGTACATCTACTCAATCGAGCTGCGAAAACGACAAAGGCCTCCTCAACCGCCATATTTCCGCGATCGGCGCGTGCGCGTATCCGTATTGGATTCCGGGCTGAGAGCTTTTCCGGATTCTGCCCCTCGCTGTCTAAGATGATCGATCCATGCTGTGATGGCTTCTGTGATGTGCATCGAGTTCTATCTCCATCGGTCTCCACAGCTTTGCATTGAAGGGGGGAATCTCTCGTCATGCCTGCGGAAAATACAGCTCTCTTTCGACTAATCTGAAGCTCTCCGCTCTTCACGACGTGATGGAGGTTCCCTCTTACATCATGAGTACTAACAATTATGGGTCGAATACCGCGCATATACGGGGTTCCCTCACATGAGCCGGCTCTACGGCGAATGCTGCATGAGCTCATCCTACGGTTGCCGCTCCGGCCACCTCAGGTGCAGCACCTATGATTCTCCGATCGAGTGAGTGGCCTCTCCGCTCTTGGGATCTTTTTCGTGCATCCGCCGCCGAGAGATGCTGCCGCTGTCTCAGAGTCGACTACCAGTACGCTCATGAAAGGAATCTGGGCTATATGTGTGCACGCCTCTCGGCACTCGAAATCCGCCGGAACTCAAAAAATTAAATGGATGAGCGTACTCTCGCTAAGAACACAACATAACTCAATCGGTAGACTCGACACTACTCAGCATGATCGCCGGAGGTGAACCAAGAACTGAGTCTGTATTGCCACTGCTCGGTGAAGTTTTGCGATATCCATTCGATTTCTTCACCAGTAATTCGAATGAAGAGGCATGTATCCAGAACTCGACCATAAGAACCGCGGGGAATACGGAAGACTTGTCGCAGCGATTTTCCGCTTCAGCTCTGAGATTCTCTCGGACCGTTGTCATTCCATGCCCAAGGGCGTCGCACGATCTCTTCTCAGCAGTATGGAATAGTTTTGAATGAAAGACGATTCAACTCCTTCCTCTCTCCGCTCGAGAATATATCACATACTTGTTCGAGCAGTGGTTGTCTATCCATCGTAATTCGTGCACTGCCATTCCGTAGTGGAGAATCATCTTCAGTCAGAGGCCCCGTTTCCATGTAGGGATGAACCGGAGTCCAGGGAGGCGGAGCTACGAACCGCTCGTATCTGCCGCGGCTTCGTCTTCTCGTTTCGGTCGACCTGAACCACTGAGCGAGCTCTCCCAGCGACGCAGATCTCCTGTGAATATATATTTCTATATATATACTTTCTTGAGTCCGGCTCTCTAGTAGCCTTGTCCGCGATGCCCCTTTCCTCATAGAGGTCTCCGATGCAAAGTGCTCTCTTCGTTCCGGCAGCTAGATAAGAGACCTTGGGAGTGACGAGTAGGGACTCAAAGGCTTGATTGAACCGGATTGCGGAATTTCTCCCACGGAGTTCGAATGAGAATCGGAAATACGGGGCCGAATGAATTGTCTGCGCACGAGAAGCCTTCACTCAAGTCAATCTGGTCCTATAGGCAGTGGAAAATGTGGGCGTTCGGGCATGCATCCGGTCGGTGTCATGGGTACATTGACATCGTAGTCTGCTTGTGTAGTCCGTGTCGATTCTAACGTTGCTCTCCTATTTTGGAAGCAACTCGTTCCAGGTGGTTGTTGGACTCGAGCTCGGGCCTCCGAGATTCTCACCGAGCGTAAAGCTCCGGAGGTGGAGAGAGAATGCGCTGCCGGAGTTCCACGAGCAGCGACTGGGACCGGAGACATTACATGAAGAGAAAGTGAACTCGAGCGGAGCATGCGAGAATGTAAAAAAACGAGTTGGAGGTACGCAGCAAGAATGCTGCGCTGCACCGGGAGGGAAAATAGCGACAGCTGACGTTGGAGTCTCTGAAAATCGGATGTCGAGCCGGAGCGACGGTGTCGGGAAGGATCACAATGAATGACCGGCCTGGTCAATCGAACTTTTCTTTTTTGAAGCCGCTGCTTTCGCCAAGCCGCTTTGTGACTCATCGGGGAAGTCTGTCATTCACTATTTCTACCTAATTCTTCCATCGGCTGACTCATCGATGGTTCGGAATGATTGTAATTGTTCGTTGCGGCTCTAGAAGTTCGAAGCTGCTGCTCAGAGTCGAGAAGTGGGTTTTCAGAACTCTGCGATTGATTGATCTCCCGAATCTGACCGCCAAGCCCTTTAGCTATTCGCAGATCCGGTGTAGGTAAGATCGCAGAGGATAAGTTTCAGGCTCTCTGCAATAGATAGATTCTAACGTAGTCCATATATCGATTTCGAACCTAGACGAAGGTATTGTATGATGAAGGTAGGCGATGAGGGTACGCGTATATTGATCCGCGAGAGTATACATACAATACAAGAGGTGAAACATCATTTCTGAGTGCACGCCCGTTGGGGAACGGGAATGGAGTGTATGGGTTCCCTCTCCATCGAGAGGCTGTGTTCTCCCCTGTCTACCGGTTCGGATCTCCGGAGAGCCAACCGGCTCGAACCATTCGGTGCCACCACAGGGAGGACAAATCAGTTTTCTTGAGATGCCGCGCGCCTTTCTCCTGTGCAATCAAAGATACAAACCCAAGTGGCGATTGGCGCTTCGTCATGCGGTCGAAGAATTGGAGGCCGAGCGTGAAGTGCCGCAAGGGGAACTCTGGGCTCAGTCCGAAGATGACATGGATCTCACGGAAGCTAAAAGAACACTTGCAGGTGGGTGATCGAATTTTCGTTCCGAGCTCCGGAAATGGCTTTCCGGAATAGGATCCTCGATTGGGATAATGACGCAATTAGAGACGTCTCGTCGTCCTACTCCATGTCTCCGCCATTCATCTTGGACTCCGGTACCGATTACGAAGTGAAGATCCGGAGGCGAAGCAGCGATTGAGCTTCCCAGCTCAGCCCCAGTTAATTAGGTATCGAATAACTCCTCAGGAGACTGTGACGCAGGGTTCTCGTTTTCTCGGAGCGGGACCAGATGGGAGAAAAGGTGTCCGCGATTTCCGACGAAATTCGCATCCTTCCGTGGCTCGAAAATTTACCGCGTTGAAGACTCCGTAGATCTCTCTGGAGAGAATCCGACCCTTGCAGTTGCTTCCGAACATCCAATGAGAGCGATTTGCAGACGGAGCGGTTCCCGTCGAAGATTCAGCGATTCGAGCTTTTTTTTCACTCGAGTCCGAATACACATGAAGACAGTTGCCATTTCCAACATAGGCTCCCACAGGGTAGTTCTCTTTCGGATTCCTGCCGATGTTATCAACACAATGACGATGGTCAATAGCTGAGCGAGAATAGTGGGGTGAGATTGAATCGGCGCCAGTTGTTGTTCCAGCGAAGGAGATTCCAGTCTTCCGAAATGCTTGTACCACCATCTGTTCTGTTTATGCGACTGGTCGAAATTGTGATGTTTACATGGTGGGGAGACGCAGTGCTACACTCTCACAGACACTCCCATGCATGCACATAACGGGATTCTTTCGCTGTCCTGCGGTAGCTTCTCTCCGACAGAGGCCGCCCTTTTGACCACTTTCATAAACTGATGCGATGCTATGTTTCCACTACGGGAATTCAGGCCCTGCCGCGCTGGCTTCTAGCCTGGCGATCTCTGCGGTCTGGAGACGGGGATAGCTCACCTTCTAGATTACATCGTTCCGTCCCCGCGAGATTCCATGATCCTACCCAATCATGGCTGGGACCCATTTCTTCCCTCGTGAACCGGTGAAAGAATCCTACTCTAATCTACGTTCTGTTCTCGATATGGAGGAGTATCGCTCACGAATCCATAACTTAAACCCGAAGTTTCCGCTTGTGCTGCTTGTCTCAAGATGCCTCCGTTCTCCGACAAGGCCACCGCGGCGCGAGCGCTAGTAGACTAACAAGCGTATATCATCTGTGGCATGGAGGAAAATTGTTAAAGCCCAGAATTTAAAGCCGGCCGAGAGAGAAGAATATGTATTCAGATCTTGGGGAACGTGGCCACCACATGGTTGGTTTCCGGCGCGTTCCGGATCCAATGTGGTCGAGCGCTCAATCGCTCTTTCTCTCTACCAGGTTACTTACCAGTTTGCTTGCCTAACATGCTCGTCAGACTTCTATCTCTCCCCCTCCTTAGCTCTTGAACATCCATCGGGACAGAACAAGCTGCGTGCCTTTCAGAAGACGTTCTCGTGTTTATCAGACAGACCGGCACGCGTCGCTGAGACGAGCACCGGATGTGCTCGAGCTCGAGCATCGTAATCGGATGTGGCCAGGCCAGATATTTTGACGACCGTAATGCCAGACCTGGAGCGATCGCATCATTATCTTCCGAAGACGGTTCTAGGCCCCCATTTTGAGCATGTGGACGTTGCTATTCTCGAGCATCTTCAACCATGTGTGCTCCCGCACGAACTGGTTTGGAATGAGGAATCGATAGATCCATCAAGTGATGTGCAGACCGGAGAGCCGGGACGTCAGATGCCACTGTAGACCCATGAAGCGGGCGGGGATGATGAATCTTGCCAACGTCGGCTTCATTGCCTAACTCATTGAATAAAGGAAGGATTCAATTCTTCCACAGAACTCGTCCCAGTGGCCATGAGTCCCCGGAGTGAATCGAGTGACTGTGTTGTGCCGCAGTTGACTACCTTGAACGAGAGTCCGAGTGGCTCGATGATGGAGGCCTTGCTGACTCAGGTTAAGGCTGCGAGGAGAGCATTACAGCACGAAGTCGTCAGGGACATAGATCTAGTCCTCATTGAGAAAACTGACAGCGCAGAAGAGAAGAATTCCGAGCTCGATACGTCAGAAGAAGACGAGAGATCCGAATCGGTGAGTGATAAGCTTACAATACTCGACGGCATGATATTCGAGAACGGGGGGCTCGGGATTCATATTAGGTCGACCAATGTATCCAAAGAATCGTCCCCTACCCGGCCACTGGGGCCTCGAGAGGTTCGCGGTGAAGCATGGGGCCACCGACCTTCTTCAGATCTCGGGAGACATACTTTTTCCGAGAAGATCCTCCAGCTCTGACAAACTCGTTCTGAATTGACCACCTCTGCCAGAAATCATTCTTCCTCCTCACGGGTCCATTGAGAATGCACCACGGGCTACTTTTAAGCTCTCAGGCATCCGGACTCCAGTTCCCGATCGGGACTGCGCCCCTCCCGAGTCCTCATGATGGATGGATAATAATTAATGAACACGGCGCTTGCATTAAAAATATCATGCAATCTCAATGTTGAACTGTGACACTCATCGGGGAAGCTCCAGATTGGAATGTTAGGACACTGCACCCATTGCCTGGGAGGAGCGATGCAATGGGAAAATAGTATCGGAGAGACTGCTCCGCATATACACGTGGGGGGTTCAGAGTAATAAACGCATCATGATGCTCGGCGCTCAATGCATCCCATTCCAGGTTGAAGAAAACGACAATTGCTTTGAGTGCAAAACATGCGACGAAGGTTTCGATCCCGAGGAAAAACTCGGTAGGTTGTCGCAATCTAGGCTCTCTCATGATGTAATTACGCTTGATGCCGACATCGGTCCCTCGGAAGACACCTGCAAGTTTTATATTGAGGATTCCTCTCGTTCCCAGAAGGCCATAAGGACATCAAACAAGCAACCTGCAAAAAATCTCGTCGCTGTCCACATTGTGATAAGGTAGGGTCCCGGATACACTATATATGTACCTCAGGTTGAGAACAAAGCAGATTGCTCTCAACAGGAAAACTCGAGAATTTCCCCGTGTGGTCCATTCTCTGGAGCCTCGTCATTGAGTAGGGAGGATCGACTGAGTCCATTGGAACATTTCCCGACCTCCCGGAGTGACCTCTCTAGCGGAGAAGCCCTGCTCGGATGTCGGGTCACTCAAAGACTCAATTCTGTGTAATGTTGCTTCCGAGAGCGTATCCAATGAGACTCGGGAGCTTTTTACTTGAACGAAGAGGTCAACGATTGGTGAACAGAATCAGCTGACCAAAGCTTTCGAACTTCCAGGAATACGTATCTCTTCCCGCGTTGTCGATGCATATAAGAACTCACGGAGCCGGTTGCCAGTGCCCCTATTGCGGGAAGCGCTTTTCCCGACCTTGGCTGCTCCAGGGTCACATCAGGTGAGCTCTTTCTCCATATTCCGGAGGAACGAAATCTGAGACTCCTTGATGAAAAACGACCCATTCGGGCAGGACCTCTCGACGAAATCACGAGTTGATTTCACACACGATCAAACTCAACTTTTAAATGCTCTCCCTGTTCCAGAACCCATACAGGCGAGAAGCCGTTCACCTGCCCTCAATGTCGCAAGGCCTTCGCAGACAAATCCAATCTGAGAGCTCACATTCAGACGCATTCGCAGACGAAGCCTTTCGTGTGTCCCCGGTGCAACAAAGCGTTCGCCTTGAAAAGTTATCTCTATAAGCACGAAGAGAGCTCGTGCCTCAAGAAGTGATAGAGGAAAATCGTGGTATTCAATAGGTACTCATTTTCTTCTTGGTAGCGAGCTCTATCGGAGAATCTCCCTGATCTCTGGGATCACCTGTGTTAGCTATCACTGTCTCCTCCCCATCGCAACTTGCAACATATCTGATATTCAGCGAATGTAGTCGAACTTCATCCACCGTCTCGAATACCGATGTCACACCATAATTTAATTTTTGATGATAGTTTGAGATGCGAGCCGTAGATAGGAGGTGCCCGGAAGTCACCGTCGAGTTGCTCCCGGTCACTCGTGTACCTGATCGAATACTCTTGTTCATATCTAACTGAAAGAGAGATGATATTGAGTGTAACTGGTCAAAGCAATGTGCAGTATTTTCTGAGAGCTTTCCGCAGAGCGCTGAAGCCCGCCATCGGTGTTCCCGTAGGCCCCCGTTGCATATTCAATTTATTGTAGGGCTGTCCAAATTTCATTCTTCTCGCTGTTTTTCCTGACGATTTGTTTGTGGACCTTCTCGTAGATGATCTATGATGATGATGATAATGATATATTCAAGTATTGTCATGGAGCCGTTAGTTGCAATCCTCTTTGTAAAAAGTAATAACTGTCTCGTTCCGAGCAAGCGGAAGATCCTAATTATCGGATCTACTCCGAGTCGATGGTTGATACTCGAAACTCTTCACTCGAGGTATGCCCCTCAACAGTATTCATCCGCTATACCGAACAGTATAATATATAGGATATCGTGCCGCTCCATATCTCTGGATATAACCCATGATGAAACTGGAGATTCGTGGCGTTCAATCACGTGTCTCCCCATCCTCCGGAGGGACTCATCATGGGAGGAGGCATCGGACAGTGGCTTATTCGATGAGTCACACAAGGGGACTGATTGTGGTCTATTTCTCGAGTTCAAGTGGTTTCTAAATACGCATGTAAGATCCACGCCAGTTGAGGGCTGTGCGTGACGGATGAGAGAGTATGTATTGGAGAGCTATTTATGTAAGATTAGCTGAGCAGAGGCTATAATAATTTTATTTATAAAATACACATGCATAAAGATACCTAAAATATCCGCATCGATTCCTCCCTGAATGGTACGGAGATGCGTCTAATGCGTATGGGTAGAAGCGGAAGTATCTACACAATAAACTCTTCGAATAATCCCGATTTATAATCAATCTTCGGCTGTCCCTCTACCCTTCCCATAGTGAGAATTTCCGTGTGTCCTGGACCCGACTTTTTCTCGAAAGCTCGTTCTCCCGCTTGACGTCGCCCCCAACCTTAGACACAGACGAATGAGTCACTTTAGGAGCCATTGTTTAGGCCGTTCTCGCGTGAGACATTGCAAATCGGAATTCATTCCGCTCAGTCACCATCAATCGAAGCGTCTCTTCGTGTCGCGACGCAGATTAGAGATGTGCCGTTTGCCGTTCCTGAGGTCATAAGCAAACTTATCGATCTCATTGCTGACCTGAATTTGCATGATTCTTTCATCTGCCCGCTTCCGCATCTGTCGCACGAATGTACCAGGGGTGTAACTATGAAACGAGAAAATCCGATAGAGGGCGTTAGCTCAAGCTGCAGTTTGAATTTTCGCGCCCGATCAATTGCGTTGTTTACATCGCATTCGCGGTCACACGAAATGGTCGATAGAGTTCGAAAATTGTGTTTCTAAATTTTTTGACACCCTGCCAAAAATGTCCCTCTACGAGCCCGAAAATCAGATTCTCAGGGCCTCGCTGGTTTTCTGCTTTCACTTGAAGAAGAGTGCATCAGAGGCACATTCTCTGCTTGTGGAAGCGTTCGGTGATCATGCGCTTAGCAAATCTCGTTGCTACGCGTGGTATGAGAACTTTTCGAAGGGAAACTTCGATTTGAAGAACGAACCCGGGGAGACCTCCAAAAAAGTTCCAGGATCAAGATTTGCAAGTTCTTCTCGATCAGAACAACACGCAAACTCAAAGTGAACTCGCAGAACAGCTGAAAGTTACTCGTGAAGCGATTTCCATAAGACTCAAGAAAATGGGGAAGATCTCAAAGCTCGGCAGATGGGTGCCACACGAACTCAGTGAACGACAGAAAGAGGTGCGATTGACAGTCTGTCGGGAACTGCTCTCGAGATACAAAAACAAGTCGTTTCTGTATCGTATCATCACTAGTGATGAAAAATGGATATACTACGATAATCCTGGACGCAAAAGATCGTGGGTCAGTCCCGGAGAACCAGCAGAGAAGTCAGTGAGAAGGAATCGCTTCGGAAAGAAGACCATGCTCTGTGTGTGGTGGGATCAAAGAGGAGTGATCTATCATGAGCTGCTAAAACCCGGTGAAACTGTTGATACTGCCCGTTACCAACAGCAGTTAATCGATCTGAACCGTGCGGTCAAAGAAAAACGACCAAATTGGGACCAAGTTCGGAATCGCGTCATTTTGCTCCACGACAACGCTCCGTGTCACACCTCGAAGCCGACGCAGGAAACTTTGAGCGCTTTGAACTGGGAAGTTCTGACACACCCTGCCTATTCTCCAGACTTGGCCCCCTCAGATTATTATCTCTTCGCATCAATGAGCCACGCTTTGAATAATCAGCGGTTCACCGATTTTGAAGAAGTCGAAAAATGGGTGGTCGGATGGTTCGATTCGAAAAATGAAGCCTTTTATCACAAGGGCATCCACAACCTGCCAGAAAGGTGGTCGAAGTGTATATCTAATCAGGGAGCCTACTTCGAATAAATTACGAGTTGTACTTTTTTTTTAAAAAATTTTCCTTTTCTGAAAAATTTTCTCGTTTCATATTTACACCCCTGGTACCTCCTTCGGGTCCGCTCCGGGCGGCACTCCACGCGGGGCTACAGGGGCGGCATCTCGGGTTTTCGCATTCGATTGAGAGAGTTTTTCCCGTCGGCAACAAACTCTGAACCGCCGCCCGGGAAGCGCTCTGGTACGTTACGCCACTGGCCTCCATTGCATTAGGCTCCCGGATCTCGAATCGTTGTGAGTTACTTGGTGTGATCCGGCCTTATCGATTGTTCCAGCAACGTCGTGGATCTGCATGGGAGAGCCGGATGTCGGCTCCTCTTGACAGCGAATCTTCGAGTACTCGTCTCGAGGATATTGGGTCTCCGCAAGACAGAGAGGTCGCTAAAGCAGGTCAATCGATGACTGACCGTTCTATGACCCCCTTCCGAAATACACGCGAACGACAACCCTTGAAGAATCGAGCTTCATAGATCCTCTCCGTGGAGGAATTCTCACACCGAAACGATGGCCCAGCGGGATTTGGAAGAGTATTTCGGGAGAAGTTCCGACCTGGAATGCGCTTTGGATCCGCGGCCTGGGATGCTATAGAGCGAAAACGCGGGGAAACTCCTCTGGAAAGCGTCTCTCGGGCTCCGTGAGACTCATTTTTGGTGACCACTTGACGACCGAAATATTGTGTCGTAGTATGCCATGACCTGTCTGCTGAGCCCGGAAGCGGGACAGATTCTATTTTTGACAATGGGAATTCCCCGGCGTCGATCGAGTTTCTATGAGCATCGACGCTGGGAAATGTCGACGTCACCAGATACAGATGTATAGGATGAATCTACCGGGGAATCCCTCAACTTCAACGGAAATCCGCTTTTCCCTGCGAAAAAGTATGGTTCTTGGCATTCGGTAGGAAGGATAATTCACGTTAGCACACTTCGATGTTTGACGAACGTACCAAATCTCGAGCTGTAGCTTCCCGTCCCGCGGTCCCCGGCATCTGGATCATTCTGCGGATCTCCCACAGACATGAATTGTTCTCCTGCATCGGCGTTCCGTAGAGCATGATTTCGGGCTATTAGATGCTTTGAGCATGTCGCTAGCAGGTAGGAACATATGCTTCATATGCTTGTTAGGAGACGACGAGAGAGACAGAAGTCTAGAACAGCGGCTCATTAATTGATTGTGTCGATACAGATTTATTCGGAAGGGTCATTCCAGTGCTCGGGTGCTGGATGAGGTTTTCTCGGTGAAGCATGAATTGAGACACGGAACAAGCGCGGTCCCAGAGCTTCCACGCGACATATCGCCGTATCAATCTGCGCTTCATTTTCTGTATCCAAACCCTGGCCGACCATTGACCGGACTTGTGAGCCCGAAACGCTCTTATTCGTTGGTTAACGTTCAATATTCATTTTGTCTACGGAGGATGATATTAGGGGTGTGAGTTTCGCGTAGCTAAAATCCGATCGGATGTGATGGGGACGTTCCGTCTCAGAAAATCGATTGACTCCTCGCGCTGGGTCCGATCCGAATACCCGTGACGTCATTGTAGTGAATGACGGCGTACTAGCTCTTTTGGCGACAATGTGAACATTTTGATATATCCGTTGTTGACAAAATGATGCTACAGAGCAGTTGGGTAATGATCATGGAGCGTCCGGTTAAAAGCCTATGTTGCAATGGACACGACATTATGAACGTTCGTCCACAACGCACCGCGTGAGGGCGCTATCAAACACAAGTGGCGTTCTTATATATAAACGCATCGCCCGTAAGCGAAACTATCGTTCTGCCGTCAATTGGTGTGTCTCACAACAGGGATATCAATTCGCCGACGGATAACCTACATCAGTGAGTTTTCACTTCGAGCCGCTTCCCTGCTGATGCTCTTCAAAAAGGTCTCTTTCGAACACGAGCGCAAAAAAATCGTCCGTTCGTCGAGGCGACACGGCGTCGACCTCCCCGGGAAGATCCGAGACTCAAACTCTCCCTGTCAGAAGCCAGATACATATGCATACCAGTTGATGACACGCAAATCAATCACAAGAAAAGTCTGTTTTGCAGTAGGATCATCATGACTCCCTACGGAATACTCATCCTCGTCTCGTGCCTAGCCGCGGTCGGTGAGTACCTTCGACCCCGGGCTGATTGGGGGTATTTCTATGGAATGTTCAAGGTTTGGGTTCTTCCAATCCGACGGGCTGCCTCATCGGGGAAAATTCCGAAAAGCAGACGAAGAGGAGTCATCGGAGCGCGACTTAGCAGACCAGTCTTGACCCGCCGAATTTTTCTCGACACGCACCTCTTCCATCGAAGTTTTTTTGGGGATTCTGCGAAGGCAGAATTCCGCGGAACGGAGTCTGCATTCGAACGCCGGCGATACTGGGATCCATTTTCCTGACCAAAATTTTCCCGGACATTTGAAGAGGGAACATCTGTCCCATCCCCTCCATCCTAACCCTGGCGAGGGAGAGTTGAAAAACCGATCCGACTCCCGTCAGGACATGATTCCCGTCAAGTGCGCCCCCTCCGACGTTTTATCTTGATCCACTGTGATGATGCTTGGGACCGACGCCCGCTGGAGCGCCTCTTCGCCGAAAATTCTTGGGCTGGAATAGTTAACTGTAACATACTGCGACGGGAGGACGATTCATCCTAGACGGAGGCAAAATGAGCGGAATACTGGCTCGTCTCGTCTATAGCCCTGGGAGTCAAATGCCGATTCACAATTCCTATTCGGGATACTGGCAAGCGAAATTCTCACACTGAATCGTTGAAAATTGGCAGTGTGCCACGTTTCATTTCAGCGCTATCCGAACGAGATTGTAATCGAATCGGGGACCACATTTGTCTTCCTGAGGAAAGGTGCTCTTCCCATGCAGTAAACAAAGAAATCAAGAGTTGTGGTGAGTTGACGCGTCAGCCTGTCCGATCGGGCGTCAGTCCATGGAGCGAATCCCATTTGCACCCAGGGACACCCTTGATCATTCGAACTCATTCCGCTTTCTAGCTCAAGGAAGCGTCTGCTGTCACAGCCAGAAGAACGACATCGACCCTTGCAAGAATCGAGCTGGAGGTGAATGTGTATTGGAGGATTGTGCCGTCGAGGCGCTCCCGGGATCGTGTCCGTCTCCACAGAAGTGCTGTGTGCGACTCCGGTGATCGTCACTCCGGATCTAGATCGGAAGCCGCATTGACCACATGCATATTGTGTGAACCTAAAGCCAGAATTTCGAACGCCACGAGTTACGTGATCAAGCATTCGGATGGCCAACCAGGTGCTCCTTTAATAAAAAGACTCGCGGAATCCTCCTCCGCTCAGATGACCGGTCGCCAGACCCGCAAAAGTTTGTTGAGTACTGTTATCGTTCCGGGAATTTCCGTCGCGCAATCGGGAATCTACTCAGGTAGACTGTTGTTATCTCCCGGAATCGTTGGAGAAGGGATCCAGGAAGGAGAACCGCAACAGGTCGGAACCGTCTGATCATTTCGTTAGAAATCATCAGCTTTTGAATAACTGTTGGAGTGTTCGGGCGGGGTAATAAGCCTTCAATCCGTCGTATCCATCGATTGATTACTCACATGGACTATGCAGTCGACAGGGCATTTATTCGCTTGGGGTACCACAGACGATCGCAGAACTTGGGAGAAATCGTAGAACCTTGGTCTGATGGCGCGTTTGATCCGCTCATTTCATCCCGCCTCAACCCGAATCATCCGCGACTCAAGCCTTATGCTCATGATTCATGATCAGAGGAGAGTTTTCAGGGCGCAGCGCAGGCTGAGAGGAATCGCTCGAGTGCTCTCAGGGCCCACGTTCTTTTTGGAGAGTTTGAATCTCAAAATATCTCTTCTACCTACTACTGTCGGCAGCCTCGGAAACGAACCTTCGTCGGGCAGGCTTATTTGCGCAACGTATCCGAGCGCCACGAAATTCATTGACTGCCCTCTCGTCTCGGATATCGGAGGGTCACTATCACTGACAGAGTGACTGAGTGTATGTATGTATGTATGTATGAGCTCTACAGCATCGTCTTCTTGCGTTGCCGCGATGCGGTATTTTCAAGAAACTTCGCCTCCAATCGAGCCTGCAGAGTCTATGCTAATTGCCATGTGGATTAACTCTGATAAAAGTAGCTGCTGAGGTTTTTCGGCGGAACCAGGAAGGTGATCGCTTCCCACGACACAATCTTCTTTCCCCGAGGATCATATTAGTCTTTCGCGGACGTGTTCCCGGCTCGCACCTGGAGCCAGTCTTGAGGGATTCCTCACAGAAAAAGACCACAGTCGACACGAGCCATCCGATGATCGTTACGAGTGCGCAGTACGTATAATCGTTGAAAGTCTGGTGAGCGAAGTTCCCCCCGAACTTCTCCAGCCGCTCCAAATGTTTACGATAATAGAAGTCAGGGTCGATCAGGTTATCGGAAAACACCCCATCCCTCCAAGAGTTCTTAGCCGTCCGGTAGTCTTGCAATCTTGCGCCATGGAAGAGTCCTGCTTCGAGGAGTGATTGGATGTAGAACAGACCGCGCACAGGACAAACATGAGTTCGCAATAGAGCGCGAGCCACTTTGAGAGGGTCCCCCGTGAAAGCCGACAGGGACGCTTCGACCAGGAGCACTTTGGTGGGATGTAAGAGCTTGATATGGTACACGTGAGCTTCGGGGAAACGGCTTTCGAAGAATGCAAGGAACGGCTTGGCCTCCAGCATGTCCATCATGCACACGTGATTATACGAAAATAGCATCTTCACGCCAAGATTCCTCTGGCGATTGCTGTCCACGGAGAATTGGCGAATTGGATTTTCGAGACTCAGGTAGGGTTCACAAGCCTCTATGCTCCAAATTCTGTCCTGGGGACCCAACGAGACACTCTTGACGATATCTCCTTTCAAGATCGACACGAATATTTGACTCAGGAAGAGCCACAGACCGAATGTCAGCAGGAGTTTGAAGTCGCTCTTCAGGTTTTTAAGCGAAATGGCGCCGAGCAGCGAAGCCATTGACATGAACACGATGTTAGTCAGCCAGCCCTTGTGTCGAGCGTTGAGTCTGATGAAAAAAGCCATCACGAGACTGGAGACCAAAACGATCAAGAACGTCAAGTTCAACGAGGCTATATCGTCGGTCAGAGAAGCTCTCCCTTGGGGTTTGTAAACTCCGACGACGGTGTAAGTTTCGGAGCGAATCATGGGCTCATCTCTGATATCGACAAGAAACGTTTTATATGGTCTGCGGCCCTCTGAGAACATCGCGATCACGTTGCGGTTTCCGATAGTGAAGAAGATATCGAAAACCGTATAAACTGAGAGAGAACCGGACCAGATGTCTTCGATTCTAGCTTTTCGCATGAGATAAAAATCCCGCCAGCTCGGGGGAATCTCGAGTTTCCTCTTACGGAGCCACTCGGTTTGCAGCATCGACGTCCCGTGGAATAGACCTTTCCTTGCGGGATCGCTCTGAGCCGTGAAGGGCAACAAGGTGAATGCGTTGTAAGCATAGAGTCTGAGGTCGCCGAGGAGATGGTAGACCGTTCCGAGCGGGCAGAGGCGAAAAATATATCTCGAGAACTTGGACCCGAAGTCACGGGTCAACAAGGTGCTCACGACCAAGATGCGAATGTGCGGACATCTTCTCATGGTCCTTGCGGGTCGTGCGAGAATCGGTTGAGACGGAAAGCTCCTGTAGAACTCCAGTTCATAGTCGAAATGAGAGAAAGCGATTAGAATCGGTTTCCACTTCATCATACGTAAGATAGCGGATTTGAAGTCCGACCAGGTAACATTCGATGCTCTGACAGGCTCGGGCTCATCGACGGCCAGAAGAATCTGCAGAAGGATCCCAAAATAGCTCACATGGAGTTTCATGCTGACGCAAACACAAGACACTCCTCAGCGAAATTGCAGGGCCAGGACTCGCAGGGCTTTTTCCGAGGGTACCAAAGAAATTTTTCGCTCCGGCTCCGTCGCAGCCCGAGTCTTCCGGCAGCCAAGTCCGACTGAACGAAGCCCGAATCCTCGATACTAATTTCCTGATGCGGAGGCTGAGTGGAACGCTATCGATCTCCGGTCATTCCCAACGAGCTCAACGTTCAGGTCTGAGCGTACTTCAGAATTCTAGTGGGATCAGATAAACGGCCGAAATCAGAGCCAGGATTCGTTCGGTGACCACGAATCGTGCAATCGATATTTCACATCTCGATCGTCGCCCCGCGGACAAGCTCGGCTCAGAACGGGGGGGAGTGGATGGCTAAGGTCATTGCGAGGGGGTCGATGCAAGCATTCGAATTCGGTCAAGGAAAATTTGTGCATTCAGGGAGGGCCTCGCCGAGAACGAGCCTCAACTCGTAGATAGTGATAATTCGGACGATGACTAGGACAGAGAATGACCATGAGGTTCACTTTGCGAGGTGATGTGACGACAATATTATGTGAGATAGCGGGATACCAGCTCCGTGACTGTGCCCTAAACTATGATCCAGGACTCGAGTTTCACGACCTCCTCAGCAAGGATAGTCGGTGAGTCCATAGATCAGAGGTTCCCAAACGGGGTTCCACGGAACCCAAGGGTTCGGTGGCGGATTACGCGGAACCCCGAAGTCTACCTGCGGAACTTCTGCGGAACCCCTGCGGAAGCTCTAGGGGTTCCGTGGAAGAAAAATGTTGGGAACCACTGCCATAGATGATACAACGTGATCGGAATCCGGTGGAAGCAACCGAGGTATTGCTGCGAGAAGATTCGAGAAGCTCGGATCCATGGTCGGTGTTTCAAAACGAAACCAGGCTTTCGCCATCACCTTATCTTGGATAGCGGATTCGGAATCCTAATGCGAAACATCCGATGCTTCGGGCGACTCAATACCATCTTCCGCGGGGAACCTAAAGAGCTCGAGTGCATTTTAATGAAGGCTATTGTCGTAGGTGCTCTGCGGGGGTCGGACTTCTAGAAAGCGGTCTTATTTCCCCCATCGAGGGAATATAGCTTCCGCGCCGAGATGCCAATTCAACGAGATGCAGTGCTATTGTCCGTTCCTAAATCGTGGCTCCGGAACCGCCTACCTATTCTGACAGTTTCCCGATTGTGGGGACCAAACTCTCATTCAGGTGACTCACTCGGATAGGTTCAGAAACATTTATTGGCTTTCGCAGTGTGTTCACAAAAGTTTTCGTGTCTCTCTGCAGACCAGTTCTCGCCGTCCCGGGGGACCCTCTTACACGATGTAATAATTACAGTATCGGAGTCATGTTGATAATACACTTCATCGACCTTTGTCATCAATCAGCGAAGCAACGACCGATCTCCGTCCTAGCGGATACGGAGCTCTCTCGCTGATGACTCTATCATGTTATTTTTTTGGTACTTTTCCAGGGTGGTTGTCGGCATTGTCGGGGCTTCATCTATTTGAATCGTCAACAGTAGCATCAATCTCGAAGATTCGGAGAGAAGTTCACGATTCCCATTATATATTCATGTAAAATGGGTGGGAAGCCCATGGCCTTGAATACAGCGACCGAGCTCGAGAACAAAATTCGGTGCGACTTTCTCGCGTGCGGCATGAGAACGTCTGCGATGAGAAGCATCGGTTCCCGACCTCATGGAGCTCATGGAATTCTCAGCGAAGACAAGAGATTTCGTATGTTTCATTGGCACGTGAGCTCAGAGTGGACTTGAACTAGAATGAGGCCAACTCGTTGTGTCAATGAGGCCCCGCGAATCACAATGATTTCCGCCAGCTCTAAAGCTCAATTAGGGATCGAAAGTCGCATTTCGATGGCGATCGAATCATTGCTCCCGTCGCTGAACTAGAGCCATTCGGGGCGAGGACTGAAGGGATCGATTCCCATAGTCGCCGACGACCCGGGGCTCCTAGACATCGTTCGGATCAGGCGTGCTAATGCAATCTCGGCAGAGATAATCTCCGTTCGAGGACTGTGTACATCATTCAGCATCGTTCGGATCTACATAGATTCATCGTTTCAATCGTTTAGAGGCACTAGAGGGTGATTGTGACGGAAGAGCGTGAACAGCCGTGAGTGAGATTTACATCAGAATTCGCCTCGCTTCGGCCTACTCAACATCGCGAGTGAAATCTTCATCCCGAAAGGATGGTTCAATCGAAAGAGTGGTCTATAGCTTCTAGTCATTCCTCTTCACAATTGAGGAATTTGGCTGAAATGAGGATTGTACAAGGTTAATCACCTCCGGAAGGGGTTGCTTTTGCGGGACGAAAGAACCGTGGACGTTGATGAGTACGAGTGGAACTCGATAACAAAGATTTCGGGCTCGACCCCGAAACAAACCGCAACAGCCTCAGTCATCAAACGTTTAGACAGCCACGACCGCGCCATCTCTGATACAAATCGGGAGATAATAGCCACGGATACCGAGATCCCGAAGAGATCCTCGACAACGAGACTCTTATAGAGGAAGAGGGCTCAAAACTCGACGATCTTCCATCTTGTGCTAGGCCGCCATCGTGGCACTAGAAGCGAGTGCCTAGGATGCGCTGCTCCCCTCGACGAGCTATCCTCTCGCATCATTGACGATCATCCCACCAACTGCGTGAATGGACCTGCTCGGGCGACCATCTGCCGCCACCTACGCTTCGACCCATTCCTCCGGGCAGGAACGGAATATTACACAACCCGAAGAGTGTGGGATACGAGCGTGGTCGGAAGGGCAAATTTTGATTGGCACCTCCCGGAATGCATCTGAGAACATCTCTCGGACACTAATCGTGGAAACGGCTTCATTCCGGCACACTCGCCGAGAACAAATAGACGGATGGCCGCGAGAGTCGCTTCCATCAGGCTCCTAGTGTTTCCTACAGACAACCCTGCATGGCATGACGAATCTCTTTGAAATTGCTGGGGTACCATTTTCCGTCCATTCAGAATGATGCCCTGTGTCTGCAGTTGATTATGATACACCTATGATACTAGAGCTGTTATTGTGTAGACGTTTCTGTATGTGTATGAATGTAAATAGATAATTTCATTCCGGATGACAATACAAATTGCCCTAAGCTATCGACAACGTCGGTATATTGTTTGTCCTCTAAGTCTAGTTTCAAGTGGCTGAACAGAATTTGTCGATTACACCTCGAAGATATAAACATTGATGCTCGCTCGGTTTCTAGGTAACGGGCAATATATAATATATTTTTATATATAATATATATATATTCTCATATACGGTTATGTGTAATAGTCGTGTTCTTCCATCTCCAGTCGAGTTTCAATATAACCTCGAACAACTTGTCATTAGATCTGACTCGAAGCTCGCAAGCCCTCAGAGCCGTGTAGGGATTCATTTTGTTTCCTATGGGATTGGAGAGCATTGTCTTCGCTGAACCGAGCGTCCGGATAAAAAGGCGACATGGAGTATACAATTAAATGATGCAGAGGGGTGATAATACATCTTCGGACCGTTTCATTGATTGTTGTTTTCGAAATATTGGTTGGTTGGTTGGTTGATCGTTCAATAAATAAAGGGAAGCCTCGCTCCCAGCGAAACGAGACCCTGTCGAAGAACCTCTCGTTTTAGGAAGTTCATTGTACTTTCTCGGAATTTCGACTTATTTATGTCGCTCCAGTCTTGCTGGGATGATGACGGGAGCCACTTTGCGGAGCCGTTACACGTATCCGTAGGGAGCTGGCCCTCAGAAATCATCGCTATAAATCGATGCCGCGAAACGAGAACTCATTTTCCCATTGCGGTCAGGATTCAATATGACGATGGCGAGGAATCAGAAGAGTTTCATAGACATCAGCCCATCTCTCCATCGGCAGCAACGTTCTCGCCGATTATGACTCGTGCGATGATTCCGCCCGCAAGCAAAGGAAATTTGTACACGACTCAGTTGAAATGGTGGGAGATATTCGCATAAATGTCCACAGAGTAGGCTAACAATGCACATCCTCTTGATAGATTCAACTTTGGCCGAGAAACAGACAGGAGGAGGTTTCCGCCTAGTTTTATATACACAAAAAAGACAGTCATAGGTGGGTGCGCGTCTCAGTAGGAGCGCGTTCTTTCTGTGTCGGCGGGGCCCGCAGGCTGGCGATCTATAATAATAGTCGTCTTCTCGAGTTGATCGAGTTGCGGTCGACGCGGTAACGGAGACGAATAAGCTGGATGAATGAAATTGATTACAAGTGACGACATTCAGACACCAACTGTCTCGTGCAGACTACGTCGTTGCATTCTTCGCTGTCGCGGACACCTCGCGGGAAATGCGACTTTTTTTATCACTCGTGAATTCTGCAGCGTACGGAAGCGGAACTTCCCCTATGAGCCGATCAGTCTGGAATTTCACAAATTGCTCAGACGATGCGCTGACGTAGAATCTTGCGCTCTGAACGGACTCTCGATGCCTGCCGAATGTTCGCCCCCCTATCGTGGCTGCGACTGACCCGGATTGAACCACGAAGTGAGCTTCTTCAGCTGGCTATGAGAATCCTGGGTGATGATTCGTTTAAGCTGATCGTTCTCCTCCTACAAAGAAGACACACGAGGATCGTTAGTTATTATTCGCCGAAGTCCACTCCGAGTACTAGAGAGTCGCTGACATGCAGGATCGCCCCGACCCAGATGCAAACAGAACAATCGATCAAGCAATCACTATACCTCAAGTTGTCGCATGCGCCGCTCCATCGTAGCTTTCTGAGTTTGTTCCTGTGCTAAATGGTTCTGCAATTCCGCCACCTTCATGGCCAGATCTTGGAAGTCTTCGTTTGTGACAGGTCCTCCAGATCCTCTGCTGACTCCGGAATGGCCGGACTGGGCCGACATGAGCGATGGCGCGCAACTCGAAGCCTGGCTGATCCTGCCCAGGTGCGGACTTCTAGTCTGGATGTCCAGGACATCTTCCTCTTTGACTTCGAAGCTGTCTCGCCCGCCTAACCTCCACTCTTTATCGAGGGTATTGCAGTTGCTGTTGCTCGCCGAGGAGTCTCCGCCCAGCTGAGATACAGGCGATATACTGTGATGGTGCTGGGAGTGTGACTGGACCTTGGCCGGCGAAGCCTGAACGGTGACTATATTCACACATCCTCCGACTCGGGATGAAGCGCCGCTCGAAGCCCCGCCGGCGCTGCTGCAAGGACTCAATCGCTCGTCTTCACACTGCAGGTTTTGACCGCAGGCCACCTGCAAAAACCGGGCGTCAATTTTCCGAGCTGACGAGCCTGTAAAGTTCACCGAAGCCGGGTTCTATGGCATAGTTATCTGAGCAACTCTGACTGAGCCTGGGTAGCCTCCATAGAATCTGGATCCGTAGATATGATGCGAGAACAAAATGTCATTCCTCACCTGCGGTGCGGCTGCTGAATTGAAGAGCGAGCTCACGGTGGGTAGTGTGGTTCTCCGATCGAGTGGACCGCGTTTTTCTTCCTCGTTAGGCCAGATCTGCTGAGCCGACGCAGACATCCTTATCGGGCCCAACAGTCCTGGACTCGATCCTGTCGTCAAAAGTTGACTTTCGCTGCTTTGTATAGAATTATTCGACAGAGTTGAGAGCATTCCGGAGAGAGGTTTCCGTTCGCAGGAGTTGGACGTTAGATTCATGAGGCCTGACGAGCCGATTGGAGATGCCGAAGATGTCGATGGGTCGGACCTGGGTCCCATGGAGGTGGCGCTATTCGAACGCAGAGGTATAGGGGGTGGAGGTGGTGGGGTTGATTGCTGTGACCTATGAATATGAAGATATCAATGAAACTTCGCGGCCCATCCTGGTTCCGGCGTTTGATCGATGTCGATGTAAGCGGAATCTGACTCGATGCGTTGGAAAACTGAACAGCGACAAACCTCGGAAGAGCGGGGTATGCTTGGTCTGGACTTCGCTGGGCAAGAGCTAGCCTAGCCGAATCGTATTCTCCAAGCGTTTGCTCGAGGTAAGAACAATTATGCTGTCCGCAGCCACGTCTGGCCACGTTGTATTGAAGTCCTGGAAGAGAAGACGAGACGACCGTCAGAGACACATCACAGCTTCAACTTCATCGGGCTGGAGCACACAGCAAAGGTTTACCGTCCCGGGTACAACTATTCACGTTGCTTCCGAGGACGGGTCCATAGAGCAAATGTACCCAGGATGATCAAGGGCCGCAGGGATCGAACCTTCACCGCCTCCCGCGGGAGCGGCGTCGTTGCGGCTATCCTCCTTGCAGGAGAAGTGACAACGATCGACCACCCGTCGGTAACATCACAGCTTCAATGACCGACAGAATCAGCCTGCTATTCTTCGGGAACACGTCTCCTATGCATATTTTTCTCATAGCGGATTCGAACCTTCACGTTGGCTGTACGGTAACACGATAGTGACGGATACGACGGTCGACGTCTTGAGAACTTCGACAAGCTGATCGTACGTCAATGTGGCAACGGCGATGTGGCACGCCTCAACCAGTCGCGCCCCCGGTCTGAGTCCCGAGGCGAAAGCCGGACCGTTTTTCTCGACTTCTTGCACTATTCCTGTAATAGAAACATAATGCTATAGAAGAGACTCCGAAGGGTCCCTGGATGAATGGTGAGTGCTCGGTCATTGGACAGATGCGAACGCGGTTCATCAGATGCTCGGGAATGAAAATTCCCGGCTCGGAGGATGTTCGCAATAATTCAAACTTACCTTCGTAGTTCACATGGAAACCCAACTGGCCATGTTCGTTCCGGTCGATGTTGAGCTGCAGCGTTTCTCTCGCGCCAGAAACGTCTTCGAGCCGGCTGCAGATTTCTCTGACCTCGTCGAATTCGGGGTTTTCGCGCTCTTTCGTTCTGACGAGGAAACTTTCGCCTTGGTGGTAGAATATACGAACAGATCCTTGCTGAGATGTGAAACCCAACACGGTTGAGGTTGGCGCACCGAAAACAACCTGGTGGGTTGCTATCTCGATCATGGCGATACTTTCCGCCGAAATAGCCAGATGAACGTCCGACAATAGGCCGGACTGTCCGAAGTCTTCGACTTGGACCTGCCAGCTGAGCGCCTCGCGCACGCACCGGTCGGGGACAAAATTGCCTGAACTGATCATCTGCATCACGTTCTGGCCAACCTTATCCTTTTTCGAGCTGCGACCGCCGAAGGAATTCAGCAACGAGAAGCGTCCGTTCGAGTTGTCGAGCAGCGTCGTCTGGAGAACGCAATTGGTGGCGAGGTCTCGAATGCATTCCTGACGAGTTCGTTGAGCCATCGTCGCGAACTTGTAGCTGCGATGCGTCGAATTTTCAGCATTGATAATTTTCGCCAGGAGCCAATTGGAGAACTTTTTGTCCCGGTTGAAGGTCGCTCCTTCGGGGAGAGGTGGTCCAAACATCGAAATGTCACGAGATCGGCTGATCGCGACTGAGTATCGAGTCCGATCCGTGCAGGGCTCGATTGCGCGAACAACAATGAACACGTGTTGGAAACGCGAGCGTATATTTTTTGGTGTGAAAGGAAGAGATCCCGGTTCCTGGAAGACGATCGTCACGATATCGTTGCCGATGTGTCGTTTGCGTAGAATCTGCTGCCGATTCGCCGGCGTGTAGGGCAGCATTGTACTGACGTGGAACATAATTTCACAATCCTCGAAGGTATTATACACAGAATGCGTTCCCGTCGTGTCGGTTTTACAGTCGAGCCCGCCTTTGTAGCCAGCGAAATTATTTAGACAGATTCTCCGGCCGATCGTCGAGAGGAATTCCTCCAATGCTGGACCGGGATGTTCGTTATTGTACATTTCCTCTTCGGTGCTTTGATTGGCCCGGCAGTACATAATTCCGACTTTGTACAACGAATTCAGTTTCTGTTCGTCGAGCTTCACTAGTTGAGGCTCCGCTGCCGGCGTTCCTAGTCGCAAACAGGATAGTTGGATCTCCGGCGCGATGAATTCTATGACCTCCTTCGCCAGGGTGGTTCCTTCTCTGCCCTTGCGCGACGATGTGGACCCTGACGTCGACCAAAGGCTTGGAATCGAATCCTCCAGTATCGTTCCGCGGAGGTCGTTCAATCCCGAGGTGCGAATGATGACTCTGCAAATTATCATGACGATGTTGAATGAGCTACCGTCCATCGGAAATCCGCGCGGAGCATCAATTCAGCATCTGCCCCGGGGCATGGGTACTGCCGCGTTTTCCCTCCACCGCCAAGACAATGTTCTAAGGCTCACCTATAGCTTATATGATGATGATGGTTGCTTGGAGCTTCTGGCCGTGTCAAGTCGGGAACCCCTAGCGCAGGGTTTTGCTGAGGAGTCGAACTGACGCGCTCCTTTTTTATGGAAATTGCGATGGGTCCTAGGTTCTCATCCACTCCCAACCAGTTCTGATGATCTTGGCCTTTGAAAAACGTTCTATAAAACACAGCTCCGTGATCTATGCCCTCGAGTATCGACGAAGGCACTTCATAAGGACAAGGTCTGAACTTCCACTTTGCAGCGCCACCAGTGCTCTCCAAAACGGAAAGTCCGCAAGCAGACATGGGCTTATGAGCGTCAATGGATTCAGGAGTTTTGGCTTTCTGTGGAATTGAGAAGAATGGATTCCCTTAGCAGCTTCGAATCAGCAACGTCTTACAACTGTTATGATGTAGAGGTCGAATAAGCTCGAAGACAATGATCGATTGATTTCGTCAGGGTAAGTCTATCGGTGCCCACCTGTCTGAAGCTGTCCTCTCCGTGGAGCGAAGCGACAGTTTTATTTGCTGTGAATCTGTTGAGGGCGATCTGTCGTTCCTGCTCTCCACCGAGCTCATTGCGGAAACACGGACAGTTTTGCACGAGATCGTTCGATTTACCGTCGCCCTGGTCGGCGTCTCCCTCAGGATTATCCCCACTCTGCGAAAACGACGGGCCTTGTCAGCGAACATTATGCCGAAAGTCGAATCGTCAATCGTAATGTACTCTCCGTGAGGCGGAGCAGGAGTTCTTTCTCGTTTTGGTCGATGGTGAGGCCAATCGAGAGTTCCGATCGCGAATTTCGAGATCTCGATGGATGGTTTAGCGTAGGGCCACAGAATGAACATCGGGGATTTACGCACCTGACTGGCAGCGCTGGCTCCAGTTGTTGTATTCCTTCTTTTGGCGAGAACATTCCGAAGATGATACGCCACGGTCAGATCGGAACAAAGACTTTGGCAATCGTAATGGGCGAAGAGCTTTTTTCGCAGTTTATCCTCAAGCTGACGCGTGCCGCCCGGCTGATGGAGCACTGCGGTACTGCAGCTCGGACCATCTTCATCTTTGTGAGACCAATCTTCACTTTTGGCCGCTTTGACCACCTTCTTTTTGTTGCTCGTAGCCGCTGAAAGCAGGCGGAACGTTCGTCAGTCGTACTCATGGACTTCGTTCCGAAGGGATTCACGGTCTCGCTTCAAGTCAATGAAATGTTGATATCGGTCCGTCGTAACATATGCTTCATTCCTAGCGGAGCAACGACGACTCAGCCGCACTTGGTCCACTCTCTGAGAGGACCCGCCACAATCAGAAACACGGTGTCAACATACGGGTCTCGTCTTCGTCGCTATCGCTAACGTCGTCGTCATCGTCGAAGCCGCCGTTAGCGTTGCCGCCGTTGCTCAGAGTCATCACGCGCAAGATGAGATCCCCGAGCGATTGCTGGCCGAGAAGAATCATTCGTCGTACGAAAATCTTCCAGGAAGCCTCCAGACCCTCCTCCGTGGGAGCCATGACGGCCAACACACGTGCTACGTTCGCGCCGTGACAAGTTACAGCTCGCTCAGCTGTCGATCGACCGACCGGCCGGTCGGTATGACCGCCCGCCCGCCCGTTCGGTCGCTTGCATCTCGACGAGCGACAGTAAGGTCGATTGTGAGTCGAACGGGAGGAATCAACTCGACAAGTGCTCGGCATTCCGCTCCTCCGCTCGCTGGCGAGCTCCTAACCGCGAGACGGAAATTCTGTCACAACTCGGCGGCATCGCATTCGTCGGGCGGACCTCAAATCCAAGGTCAAAATTCAGAGACAGGCGTAGTTGTCGGCGTTCCACGATCCTTCTCCGGGAAACTCGTTCAGAAGATCTCATGGGCCAGACGAATATTCAGAGGAAGCCTCTTCAAGCAGAAAGATCGAGACTCGAGGTTCTAGAAATCGCGCTGTTTTCCCCCGAGCTGAATAATCTCGGTGTTGGACTCTTCAGAAGAGCGTTTGTCGGGAAGGAAGGGGGAGGGGGGCTCCCCCATGGGGAGACCCGATCTAGCCTTCTCCTAGAAAAATTCTGCGTACGCCGCTGGAAGTTGCTCCATCGAGCGAATTTCATCGTTAACCAGAGGCCCTAAGCAGAATCTACGGCCTCGAGGAGAAAGTCGAAGTCAAGGCAGGCTATTCGTGATCTCGTCCTCTCACCGACTCCTGCTCGCTTCCACACTTGGTCGAATTCTCCGACCGACTGGCGTCGTTCGTTCAGGTGGGGATGGACACCCAGCAGCGGTGAACACATTCTAGCACTAGGCACTCGAAAAGGGTTTTTGCCGATACGTTTCTCTAATAGCCGTCGAGCTTTCCTACAGCTTCTCGATTATACGGGACGCTCCCGAAATCTAGAATTTCGAGCTTCCCGGCGGGGCGGGAATTTCTTAATCGAGGCCTCGGAGTCGCGGCGCAACGAGCCTGCAACAGTAACGGTACACTGGCATACCTAAAAACTCGAGTGCTCGCATACTGACCTTTCTCCTTACTCTTGTGCCTGTCCCCTGTTAGCATGAGTCGTTGGAATTTACTTTTAAGTTTCGGGCTATCCGTCGTCGAAACACTCTCATGACTGGCACCCGAAGACGAACTGGGACCGGGCAAATCTCCTCTGGAATTTTGCTGAGATTGCTGCGGCGCTTGTTGTTGGATTTGTTGTTGTTGTTGTTGACTGTGTGCGTTATGATGTTCAAGATTCACGACCGTAACTCCTGGGGCTGAGTGCAGGTTGGCTGCGGCGGCCATCGCAGCTGATCCTGGTGAATGCGGGGGAAAAACGTCAGTGAATCGATCGCGAGGAATCGACTCGAGACTCGGATCTCAATTTCTGCGGGAACACGGGGATGACGGAATCTCGCAATCGCTTCGCCTTACCCGTGAGTTTACCCCTCAAGTACTCCTGGATCTTGGCGGGACCCGCACTCCTTTGGTCGATTGGTATTGCGGGTATCGCGGAAGATCTTTTCGCTTCGGCAGCGGCAGCGCTTGTTCCGTTCCGGTACTCACGTATCATTGCAAAGAAACTATCACCTACGGAACAGAAAAGCAAAGCCGCGTCTCAGCCTTCTCCCTGAAGCTCAATTGGGGAATTCCATTCGAAAGTCAGGTTCGGAAACATATCATCCTCCAGAACTAATAGCTTCCCCGAAACGCAAAACCCACCGGTGGTGCCGAGTACATCGAGGGACGAAGCACTGCCATAATCTCTTCGACGGGTTGCGGGACCGCTCCCGAGATTCGACTGCTGGAAGGCCGACGAACTTGATGCCGCAGCTCCTCCGGTTGAATAATCCTCGAGCGAAATGTTGCCATTCTTCTCAGAGGATCCAGGCGAGATTCGACTCCGCCGAGAGCTCACCGACATGCCTCCCAACGCCAAATGTTGCTCGAGATCCAAACTGGAGTTACTCCTGAGAAAAAAAACGTTCCGTTCGTATCAAGGTCACGGTCATCCAAAACGATCAGGAATCATCAGAACGGAGATCTGGAGACACAGAATTATTCATATTGCGTCGGAAGCGGGTGTGATTGGACATGGTACCGAGACACGAAGCGATGGAGGTTCCGGGAGGCTTGCAGTGGATTCGTTGCGTTTTGACTGAGACCGTTTTCAGGAGCGTGCAGTTGCTGTTGCGCTTGCTGCTGCTGCTGCTGCGGCTGCTGCTGTTGGGGTTGTGGTTGCTGAGATGATCTCTTATTGCGATCGAGGAAAGGCGTCATTGTTTTGGAACCCGGTTGTCGCTCCGAATGAGTCCTTTGAGGCCTCTCAGGTGGGTTCGCCAACTGTGAGTGATAGTGCGACGAAGTATTGTGAGAGGACGATGTTGCAACAGGTCGTCGTTGGTGATGACCCATGCCTGCAGGGAATAGTAGGAGTAAAACGGATTAGATCTCGAACAGCAACGGAGGCTCCAATTACAGCCTTAGGACACCGCATACACATCGTCATAAACGAATCTACCATACCCTATGCACATATGTGTGATGCTGCTCATAATAGGATGCATGTGAATTATATGGGAAGAAATATGATCGATCGATACTTGGACGAATATGCTCACCGTAAGAGGCCCTAAAGTCCGGGGGTCCAAATGAGCCCGACGGATTCCCGCTCATTGCGCAATTGGCGTTCGGAAGCTTCGCGCTGTTATTGTTGGTGATGTTGCTTCCATTGCTGCTGAGATGGGACATGGAACCCGACTTGAACAAACGGTTGAATCCAGCTTGCTGCTGGCGGCTCGAAGGTGGAACCTGTTGTTGGGCCTGTTGCTGAGCCTGTTGCTCGGCAAGGCCGTTCGCCCGGTAGAACTCGGCAGCCCGAACCCTCAGCAGCTGTGAAGATTGAAGTGCGACCTACATCGATAGCCAGTAATCTCGGGATTAGTTGAATGTGCGGAACTGCATTGGCTTCGCTCATCCATTCGCCCGGTAACGGAGCACACGTGTGTCCATTTCCGGAGCTGGATTAAACGAGATAACAGAGTGAAACACGTAGTGAGAAACGAAGACAAAACGAATATGACACGTGTTGTGAGTGATACTGAGGACGAATACCACACGGAAAAAATACGGAGTAATGACGGAATCAGAGCAGCGCGAGCGAAGCGATAGAAACTGAAAATATTTCTTCTCGTCGCGGGAAGCGAGCAAAACCCACCGTTTCATGATCGAGCGGTTGCGGTCGGAGGGGTGGAAGGGGTCTAAGTGTTTCTGCTTGGGTACTTGGGGAGTCACGTTGATTTCTGTAAAAGTGGTGGGATGCACATAGGAGACCGGGTCGAATTTCAAATCCATTCACGCGATCGCGGTCGAGATCGACGGGGAAGGGAGTCCATGACTCGATCGGAGTGAGAGACCCGTGGAAAAGTTGCTCGAAGGGCTCATTCGATGGAGCGACAACAACAACAACAACGTCGACAACAGGAACAACGATGAGCCGTGAAACCCAAATAGTGAAAGCCACGAGAGCAGGTGGACGTAAAACAGCGTGAAGTTCAAACGTGGAATCAACAAGGGGGGGTGGGGTTAAGCTCACCTGTCGGGCGGGTTCGTGCTCTGGCCTTGTAGAGCGTCGGACAGAGACGCAGTCATAGTGATGTTCGTGCTACTAGCACCCCTCCTGTCCAGAGGGGGCAGGGGCAAATGCCCCTCCAGGGCGGTGAAATCTCGTGGTGCACGAAGCCCGTTCAATGCTCCGCTGCTCGATGATTTTCTGCAACGAGACAATGGCGAGCCTTGGAAATTCAGGAGAGAGGTCCGAACCGGAGTCCCGTGAGAGTGGGGATCGACACGAGAGAGAAAAAGAATCCATATTTAGAAGAGAATATGATGTGTTCCCCCACCTCGGCTGCCGTAAGGCCAGACGTTCGGTTCTCTGCAAGAGACTGGATCCCTGCGCTTGAGAAGTCCGTTTTCGGTTCGAGAATCGCGCTTCGGCTACCTTCGGATCGGCTTCTCTTTCCCTCGGAATCCCCCTCGAACGGGATTCTCTGCCGAATCGACTCGGGCCAGTTGTTCGTCCTCCACCGCCACTCAGATCGGGAGCGAGCTCCTTTGCTTGGACAGGTTCACTACGAGGTCTTTTCGGCCTCAGCTGAGCGGTATCGTTCCGTGGCGAACGAGTTGACGAGGATGTCGACGACGATGAGCTGGACGCCGCTACGGGAGCTCGTCTATCGATCCGTTGGAGGAAGTGACCCAAGAGTGGAGATCTTCCGGACGACACCGGCGCATTTTCGGTGCCCTCCGAGAGTCCGCTGCTCCCGTTGAAACCTGAGCTGTTCCCCTGCAATGCGAGAGCACGATTTACTGATACCGATGCTCCCGAAGGCAATCGTCATTGGATTATGGGTGCCACCGTGCTTTGCGACGCGGGGCTTCATTCTTAATCTTCGTTGCATCGTAAATCTATCTTCCTAAGCGAGAGCTTGGCCCTTGCTCTCGGCCGGAGAGACCTCTAGAAATTAACACGCAACACGCGCAGACCAGAGGTCAATACAGCTGGCGGAGCGGAGCGAACGTTCCCGCCCCAACACATCTCTGCCTTAATTAAACCTCGGTAAATTTAGCTTCCCACGCGAATTCGCGCTCGGAGCTCATAGACACACACACACGGCTCACGTCCGCAGACGAAGGAGATCAACACTTCTCTGCAGGCAGCCATTGATGATTTGAGACAGGGCGCTCTCCTGGAGGGCTGCAAGCTCCGTTCCGAGGCGGAGGGACTTTCTTCCTGCGAGCCATCAGCTCGTTGCTCTGAATCAGCGTGAGGGCGCCTCGAAACTCCATCGTAGACAGAAGAACGATGACTCTCAAGACCCCTGGGGCTAGGAAATTATGCTGCTTGAAGCTCGGTGTAATGTTGCGCAAGGAGAGCCCTCGCCACGCTTCCAGAGTCGTGAACATCCAATAGACGCAGAATTTGATGATTGAATGAGCATGAGACCTGCGAGGGACACCTGACCTTTGCCAAGACCCGATGGCGCACTTTCAATGCTAATTCCAGCTAAGCTGTGCCATTGATAAGCTCGTTGGAACAATTGGATCGGGCACTAATCCGTGCCCCGCCGTCCGTCGTCTTCCTCTCTTCCTCCTCGCATTCTGCTCTCGGAACCTTGCTCCGGTGCGAGGTGAATATTCATCGCTCACTCCGTTCATTCGAGGACATGCCCGACTCAGGGTTCAGGATCCTGTTTTCCCGCGAGTACTCTCCCCATGGCTCCGCTAATCATCACCTCACGACATCATTTTTGCGGAATCGTTTTTCCGCCCAGGAGCTCAGCCATCGTATGGCCAATCTCTGAAAACTGGAAACCCCAGATTCCGAGATTCCCCTCGTTGGACATTGCCAATAAGTCGAACGCCGAGGTCCACGACCAGGACATCGGGAATGGCACGGGGGCAAGGAGTGGAAATCCTCCTTCGTCCGTGATAGAAGTCGAGTAGTGCTTTCGTGGCCCCTCCTGAAATTCAATTCAATTACCATCCGGTTTCCGCAAACGGAATCTCGAGTATTTGTCCTAGAGATCACGGCCTGAACTTTTCGCTGGAGCTGTCAAGTCGGGAGGAGCGCACTTCCGAAAGTCCTCGAAATGAGCGTGAGATGGAATAAACCAGAACATCCGCTCTCGAGTCCCAACCTCGGCTGCCAACACCGCTGGGGTTTTGGAATTCCCTAAGAGCGGCTCGCGAAATGATCCCGCTGCTGATAATTGAGCTCAACGACCGACCCTTTTTTAAGACGGAATTTCGGGAGTCCCCTGGACTAGAGCCGAATCCCGCATCGGAAACCGCGAACCGATCAGCGATTCCAACCCCAGCAAACGCGTGAGTGGATCTTCTCGAAAACTACATACGTCGTCCTTGTCATACAACCCAATCTTCCCACGGGCGAAGCACGCGTGGTGCCACTGGTTGGCAAGGCTGGGCGGCCCGTACAGCAAAAGTCGCACGACCATCTATCGTAGGTAAGTTTTTCGTGTCGACACCCTCGTATCGCGAACCGCTGTGAATTGTCACGATTTTCCCTTTTGTGAACATATCGTTCTCATCCATCTGCTCGCGAAACACGGACAAAAACCGAACCAGAGAAGAGATACGTGATGAATATTTCTTAAGCGGTGACCGGGAGGAAAAATGCTGCATCGGACGACAAGCAATCAGCAAGGAGAGGAATTTCGAGGGATCCATCTCCAGAGTGGTCTGCTCGAGTTGGATACTGTTCTCCAACTATGCGGTTCTGGCAACGCGCACTCAGAGTTTCGAGGTGCCGGCAGGCGAGCGGTCGAAGTACTTGGAGTGTGTTTCGCCACGATTTCTGAGCGTGTTTCCAGAATCCCAGATTCTCTCTCGAGGCACAAGTCCTCGTCGCGCTTCCTCTCACGAAATCAGACTCGTTGTGCGTCCTACCACCGAATGATAAACACACCGTTGTAAGCAAGTACAGTCCGCCAGGTCCGGTTGCGACGGTCCATCTTCGATTCGCTTCCAGAAAACGGTCGGAGGACGCTTGAGACGTCATTTGCACCATTGGGAACGATCGCACTCGCACACATCCGCGACTCGAAACGAATCTCCGAATCTGTCCACTTTATCAGGCAGCTCGATGCGAAACACAACACCAAATCCTCCGGACTGGCAGAGAAATGTCCGAACCGATGATTTCACTCGCCGTAGGGCGGCCCTGGCCTCCCACCAGTGTCCATTGGGTGGTTCGCGTTCATGAGATTCGAACTCGGCCCGATTCTCAAGAACCTGTCGCCACGGTTTATCGAACTGTTTAAACGCGGCACCAGGTTCAGTGGAACTATCGAGCGAGCGAACAACAAAGCCTATGGAAGAGACCTCTACCGCTTCTCACTGATGCTGATTCTGGTGGAACGCGCAAACACAAGAAACCAACGAGCGATGATTCGTGGGCGGCGGTAGCGTCTGTATGTGAGTAATTCCGAATGAATGGCCTTCAAATTCAGTCCATCAAATGAAAGACCGCGTCGCGGGCCGAGCACGGTCGCGACGATTATATCGATCATGTTTCAGAAGAACCCGATCCGCCCGGGAAAGTCGTTGAATTCCCCGAGGAAATGGAGCTCTTATCTTGAACGGGATACTTTTCTCCCCACTCATGATGTTCCACACACAATCGGAATTCGTCTTCTGAATTTTCTTCTTCTTTCCCTTGCCGTTGAAGAATTATCCAGTCTGATTTCGGGAGGGGGGAAGGGGGCCCCCGGGAGCCCCCGGGCAAACAGACGACCCCGACAGACGAGGATCCACCTGGACCCCTATCCACGCCCGAGAGGATCAACTCATGAGCACTTGACGGGAAAATCGGGGGAGAATTCAACTCCGACGGAATGAACACATTTATCGGGGAGAAACAACAGTCCGGGGAGGAGGACGACGTCCAGACGCGTCACGCACTCATCGACCTCGACTCAGTCGATTCAGAGCTAAATGCGAAGCTAAAAGTGCTCCGACTATTGAGCTAGTAGGTAGTTGTTGGAAGTTTCAGACTTCGTTGGGAAAATAGAGATGTCCCATTCTGTCGCTTTCCCCCGATCATTCTTTAGCCAATATTCATCAGTCTCTCCGGGTTCGAATCTCCATTGGCATCGACGGTCTTCGCTCGTCGCGGGCCCATCCGGACATCGTCTATGCTCATTGGGACATCGCCGGAACGCGAGACAATCGGGGACAGAGCCGATTCCATCGAATCGCCAGACATCTCACCGCGTCCCTATTCAAAACCGCTTCCGGGATGCAGTGTGCGAAGCCTGCATCGTAGATCTAAACGGAGTAAGTTTTCACTAGAAATATTACATCACGCGCGCGCCCGACCGCCTGCGTTGCTGTCCGGAAACGGCAGTGGCCACATCTCGGAGCACCTGTCTCGCGGTCGAGCCGAACTCGACTCGCCTGATTCCGTCGACGAACGAGGCAATGTATTCAATGGAGTCTCTTTTCAATGTGACAAACTCGAATCGCAGCTGTCCATTCACCAGTCGGCCTTTCGCTCGTGGTTAGGTTGTATGCGCATCTCACAGCTCAAACAAAGCTAGGATCGAATCAGTGAGGCTGCTACCGGCCTAGAGAAAGAGAGACCACGCTGCCCGCGATGCGTCGATCGTCACAGTGAAATTCGCGGAAGGAATGCGAATAAATTTTTCACCGTTACACCTCAATAATCCCGGGGTGGCCGCTCCCGACGACTTTCCCCCCCTCGAATAATGCAGAACCCTGTTGACAGCCGCGGAGGCGAATCCTGGCCCGCGGTTCGCCCCAGACGGCTACCTGATTCCAGGAGAATCTATCCGATGGCCGATGGGGAAGTCAAACGGGGGTCGCAAAACGGAAGGCGAAGACTTGCCCGCCGAGGACCCCAAAGGGATTCCCGCCATTCCCGCCTCCGCAAGGCCTAGTTGTTGGAAGAGAAAGAATAATGTCTTGCCTTGGAACAGATGAACAGGAGAGAATCGATCTTGTGCGATACGGAGACTGAAAACAGGATTCGAATGCAGATGATGTTGGAGCTAAGGACCGTATCGTTCTGGTCGAGGGAAGGCGCGCCGTGAAAAATACGGCCCGCGCGT